ATTACTGTAAAATGCTATAAGACATTAAAATGTTAATAGTCTTTGAAAACATAGTTTCAGAAAAAAGTAGTTAGTATATTACTCATTAATGAATACGATAAAGTATTTATATGTTAGGATTTTCAAGGTTACATGCATATGTCGACATGGTATTATTTATGGAATAGCGTAATTCATGATGATAGAATTTACAATTACTAACTAATTGTTGCTTTCTTGGTAGAAGTGTTAGACGATGTAATAAGAAATATCTATAAAATATTAGAATACAAAGCATCAAATTATTATTCAAAGACTTTTTGAAATTAGGAAATATACACGCACATTGGAAAATAGAATGCAAAGGAAACTATACACTACACAACTAATATACGTATTTAAGTAATTACGAATTTTCAACTTATATTCAAATATTTATGTCAATCAATTATTTGCACGATTTCTAAAATAAATGTTTAGTTATTAATTGGAATGAATCTTCTAACTGGAAAATTTAAAAGCTTCACGCAATAAAAATTTTGTAGCGGCACATGAGATAGAGGGCAATTCAAATCATATTTTTGTTTTGCCTCGGAGTATCAACATCGTTAAGACATACATAATGTAGTAATAAATAAACTCCGGACAAAACAATGCCACCGCTACGTGTAACCGTCAAACGAAGATGAATTTGAATTTTCCGTACTCCCTCGACTAGTATAAATAGACGACCATGTTCTCCAGAAGTCAGTCGTGCAAATCAATATCAGTTTATCAGACTCAGTCTAGAGCTTATTAGCGATCTATACACAGTCTTTAGCGAATCAGTTTGTACCGAGTATCTTAGCGAACATTGTCTGTATCTGTTATTTTAAAATATATTTGACGGTTTTCAATACGAAGATATCTCGTCATTTAAATAAGAACTCAACCAACCATCCTCCACAAGTGGTGATACTGACGTGCGAAAAGTAATTTCAAAGTGAATGTGTTACAATCATTATGACGAGTAGAAGCGGAGCCGACCGTGTATCGATCGAGCAAGATCGAGTAGAAGCGGAGCCGACCGTGTATCGATCGTGCAAGATCGAGTAGATGCGTTGAACACACCGCTCCGCGTAGCACCGTTCTGGCCTCACGACGTCGCGCTATGGTTCTTGATGCTAGAGTCACAATTCGAAGCTGCCCGGATTACTAGCGACAAGACGAAGTTCCACGCTGCCGTTGTTACGTTCTATTTAATTGCCGACGAGAAGGTAGCGTTAACTGACGTTTAATGCAACTGGCAATAAGTTCCACTTTCGGCTAACCTGCTATGTGCGGGAATACTGGCACGGGAAAGGATTAAAGTTGTTCGAAAGTGAATTTACAATATGTAATGATTTATTCAAATCTTACTCGATTTCGATATTGACAATTGACTGACAGACTGACGGATATAAAATTCTTCGGTTGACAAAATGATAACTAACTCTTCGATAGACAATGGTAATTATTCGGTTGACGAGCGGTAATTAATATATTCGATAGACGAACGGTAATAGTTATTATTACTGACTCCTCTGAGTCGATACACTTATTTATATCTGTCGGAGATGAAAAAACGTCGGGATCTTTCTTTTAAAAACATTTGGGAAGATCCCCAACGTTTGTTCAACTGCCGACTTTGTTTACAATTTAAATTGTCTTAATATCGTTATAAAAACATAATTAGATAAATATAAAGACGTAGTTAGGTAAGTTCTCGCAAGATATAGCTTTTAGCGGCTTTAACTGCCTTTCACTTCAAATACTCTAAACACGGTTTCAAATAAAGGTTTTAAATTACCTAGATTTGCAAGAAATTATCAATTTTATTTTCGCGCTACGGATCGTGCGGGTCGCGGTACGTAACAGCCGTCACAAATATTACAACGCAGCATGTGCAGCTAGTCCGGGACATATTGTTCGACCCGCCGGAGATAGGGCAGTATAAAAAGTAGCTGATAAGGAGACTGGCAGACTCGGACTCTATGAGAGTGTGGAAACGGAACCTACCACTATGACGAACACGAAACGGCGTTTCACGGTAGTGGACGTTAACACGCCTATGATCGGCGTGGACTTCTTGAGCCATTATGGGTTACTGGTCGACCCTCGAAATCGACGCCACAGCGACAAGACCAGCAACCTATCGACAACACGATACACGGACATGACTGTGGCTCTATCGAGTCGACGTATCACCGACATCTCATCGAATTTTCGGACGCGACTCGTCCACTCGTTCGGTAGAGACAAAATATGACATAGCGTGCTACATCATATCAAAAACGATGCCCGGCCCTTCCGTCTTCAGCGAACCTCGATGCCTCGCCTCCGATCGACGCAAGTAGATAAAGACGGAATTTGAGACAATGACTGAGCAAGGATGCGGCCATTGAAAAAATTCATGGGTATCGCCTCTGCACATCATGCTGAAGAAGAACGGAGGCCTACGACCCTGTGGCGATCGTGCGTTGAACGCTCGCACCGTGTCGACAGATATCCACCGCCGAATATCGAAGATTTCGCGCAATATTTGCACGGGTTTGACAACAAGCGGCTGACGCTTTACCCCGCATCGAAATGACAAATCCGCAGATACCGAACTCTCGCAACCGCACACGAAAAACGACGAGCGAAGTCTTACAACCATATGTACAACAAAGAAAAAACGTTATCACTGGAAGGGAGGTGATGTAGCGGCACATGAGCTTGAAATCTAATATTTATTATGCAATAATCTAATACTTCTATACAATTCTTTATTTGCAGCCAGTTTGTATTTTTTTTAATTTCGTTATTTAATAAAGCAATATTATGTGATATTTTGTGTAGGCAGAGACTTTTGATGGTCATTATGCGTATACGATGCTTGTATTTGGAGTTAACGCCTTCTTTATTCTAAGTTGCATTGTCTGAATCTTATCTACATATGCCTCGTATTATCTCGTTACTTATTGTTAACGTCAAATAATATTAATTATTATCATCTTAAATATTGTAACACTGTAAATATAAAAATTAGTTTATTAATAATAAATGGATTAAACAGATAACAATGGTTATTTAACATGAACTAATCGTAACAAAGTATTATAGTTAATTAACAACTCTCGTCAACATGGATTCAACTCTCTCTCAACAACGCTAACAATACTATCTCGACAACGCAATCCGCACTCTCTGGCTTCTCAATTCATACTGCCGTTAATTCGTGTATGTCCCTTAGGAACCCTTTGTCTTTTGTTTTAGCCTCATATCTTTTCTTTACGCCCCATCATGCACATGCTCAGCAACCGCTTGTTTATAATTCGCACGACACCCGTTTATAATTTGCATGACACCCCCCCGCCCCCCAGGCCCCTCGTCCACGATACTACAATATGTATTATACTATATTTTAATACATATTAGATAATACAGTATTTTCTCTACAACTGATCGCCACTATGTTTTCCATAATTGATCGGTTGTTATCCCCAAGGGACTAAGTAGCGTAATCTGATCCGAATTCAAACGTCCATGAAAAAATACTAATTATCTATGAGACAATAATGAAACCTTTTTATTTCTGAATTTTTAAAAATTAAAATTTTATTACCGTATTTATGAGATTTTTCTGGCTAAAATGAGTCCAAACACGATGTAGTTTAAATCATATTTACACATATTTATAACAGACGAAAGAAAATAAGTTAATATCACTAAATAAGCTAATATGCTTCAAATTATATTGCGTTTGGTCCTTGTTCTAATCAGAAAAAAACCAGGATTACATTGGTAAAAGTTTTATTCAATAAGGATAGAAAATAAAAAAGTTCCGTTGTTGCATTAACATCGTCCAACCGATGTGCTTCTTTTCATCCAGTCGACTCTCGGAACCCTTTCTCTTTCACTCGTGCTCCCTTTCTCTAAATTCGGCAAAATGTTGTATCCATTATACAATCGAGTCCTGTACACGATATGTAATCCATCACCATGGAACCGTTTTCACACCACTGAAGCCAAGTTCAAGTACCTCGAAGACCCATTTAGCCCTAGCTAGCACGAAATTACCTCGTGAGCAATTTTTTCAAGACCTCACGAGGGCCTACCAGTAGACTTTCTCTTTTCTCATCTCTAGTAATTTATCACACGGAGCACCGTGGGCTCGAGTGTCTCTGAGTTATCTATACCTCGGCATCCTGCAAGTATAACTATAGCATTCGCGACTTTCAGAAGCGTGGTCGTGGCAGGTCTAAGGTCCAATATGAATACAACCAAATCTCGGTAACTCGAATCTCCAGAGAAGAGCTGAATTCTTCGAGTTACAGAGGCTTCGACTTATCAAAATCTCCGGGTAAAAGACGTTTAACAAAGGAAAATTCAACATATAGAAGCTTCATACGAAGGCACAATTACATTCACCTTTTCAGAAAGTACTAGTATTTCAAATTTCCTCCTAAAACTCATTTTATTCAACCCACATACATGCAAAAGTTAAAGACGCGGGAGATGAAAAAATTATGAAAAAATGTGAAACATAATTTTTCAGTATATAAATTAATTTTCAAATTTATTTCTCCCGAAAACAAAACATTTTGTAAAAAAATTTTATTCAACACTTTTTACTTATTTTCGCATTTAGAATAACCTCCTGCTGATTATTTACTTATACCCAATCATAGCCGATAATTAGCAATTAATTAGATAAACATAATAACAAGTGCATTTAGATCTGATCCACATAGACGACGCGATATCGCATCGGAACATATGATCGTGGTAACGACCAATCATTTACAGTGAAGAACTATCATAAAGCGCCGACACATAATACAGCATGGCTACGTCGTACCGCCGCGTATCGGTACCTTTGCCTAACATACCATTACAAAAATTCATGTTTATTGTAAATAATGTACTTAAAATCTGTATTTTCTGGACTCAATAAACTCCCTTGTAAAAAAAATGTAAAAAACTATCTTTGAAGAGTAAAAAATGTCCCTAGGATATGGCGCGTAAATATCGCGCCAAATCAGTTGATCATGGCGTCAGGGGATATGAATAATACATACGTACTTGTTTAACGCAGTATATTCTTGTATGAAAAGTTTGTAACTGTCTTGTTTTCAATGAATCGAGAAGGTCTTAAATATCGTATTTAACATTTGATCAACTAATTTTGCATCTAAATTTAATCAACTTATTTTCATAAGCAGAAATGGATCAAGATAGTTATTCAGTGACGTGTTCCGTTACAATCGAAAAGACTAACTCACAAGGTTCGATTTTGAGGAAAACAAATCATCGAACAGTAACTTTACGTTTAATCAGAAATAATCTTCGTGAAATTTTTATCGAAGTGCGTGCAGAAAAAGGAAGTTTACTGACGAAGTTATCGCTGAAATCTATATCTGTTTTCAATAAGTTTATGACTGAAGGTAAAGCTTCTATCAAGTTTAAAGAAGAAAATTGTACATTGTTTTTATCCAACGCACCGACATCGCAGTTAATTAATTTTTTGAAAACATTATATATTAAAGTGTCAAATCAGTCGGATCAAGTAGTAAAAAATCCATTAAAGGAGAGACTACTTTCTAATAAGTTCCTAGAAATTAGTCCTGTTACAAGTACTGAAATAAATAAAGCTAAAGAAAAGACTATCGCTGTATCGCGTGCAACGATTACGACACCATCCCCTAGCGCTGCTAAAAAAAGAAAACGGTCGGATGAAAGTGCACTGAAATCGTTTACTGCGAAAAAACTGTACGATAATCCAACTGTAGGACAGGTTACGGAAGAACAAAGTAAAATTTTAAATGCGGTACTTAGTGGTAAAAATGTGTTTTTTACTGGCAGCGCAGGTACTGGAAAGTCGTTTTTATTGAAAAAAATAATAGCAGCTCTTCCACCTGATGTCACGATGGCTACAGCGAGCACAGGAGTAGCGGCATGTCACATAGGTGGAATAACTTTGCATCAATTCGCAGGAATCGGACTAGGAACCGCGAATTTAGATAGATGCTTTCAAATGGCTTCTCGCAATTCTGCTGCTATTTCATGGAGAAAAACAAAACATCTGATTATAGATGAAATTTCTATGGTAGATGGAGACTATTTTGATAAGATTGAAGCTGTAGCTAGACATATTCGTAGAAACGAAAGACCATTTGGTGGAATACAATTGATATTGTGCGGGGATTTTTTTCAATTACCACCAGTTTCAAAAGAAAACAAAGCTAAGTTTTGTTTTCAAAGTAGCGCATGGAAAAAATGTGTACATTTTAATTATGAATTACAAACTGTTCATAGACAAACGGATCCTGAATTTATTAGGATTTTAAATAATATTAGGATAGGTAGAGTGACGGATGACACTGCAGAAAAACTTAAAGCAACAGCTAAACAGAAGATAGAAAGTAATGGCATTTTAGCAACCAGACTTTGTTCTCATGTTAATGAAGCTGAAGAAATTAATCAATTTCAACTGGATGAGTTAAAAGATGAATCAAAAACTTATATGGCCCAAGACTCTGATTCAGCAATGACTGCTACATTGAATCAGCAGTTGGCTGTTCCTGATAAATTAGTATTAAAAATAGGTGCTCAAGTAATGCTGTTAAAAAATATAAATGTTGCTAATGGTTTAGTGAATGGTGCAAGGGGGGTAGTTATTAAATTTGTAGAGAATATACCTGTAGTCCAGTTTAAATCTGGTATTCAATATCATGCAAAGCTAGAAAAATGGAATTTGAAAACAAGTACTGGGAGTATTGTTCATAGGATACAAGTTCCATTAAAATTAGCATGGGCTTTTTCCATTCATAAAAGTCAAGGTTTAACTTTAGATTGTGTTGAAATGTGTCTTGCAAGAGTCTTTGATGCTGGCCAGTCATATGTAGCCCTTTCAAGGGCACAAAGTTTGCAATCTTTAAGAGTATTAGATTTTAATAAACAACAAGTATGGGCTCATTCAGATGTTCTTTTGTTTTATAAAAAATTTAGGAGAAATATACAAGAGATGGAAATGATTCCTTTGGGAAAGAAGCAAAAGATATGATTCAGTTATTTAAGATATCCAAACAATTAGAAGAGTGTTATATTTTGCTTCTGATGGTAAATACAGTACACATAATTAGATGATAAAATTGTAAACAGAGACTTTACCAAATCCACGTACAAAATTATGTATCTATTTAGTTCTATTAAAATTTTGTGTAAGAGGTAAGGTTGTAGAAGAGATAATAAAAAATTGTTTAGATAATTGAAATTAGGGATCTATTAAAATTTGTCTATTATAATTATAATATGTATATTAATACAATAACGCACAGTTTCGTGAATTGATTTTTTGGATTAATGTATTTGTGGTTAAGACTATTGTGATCAAAATTTTGAAATAATTAGAAAACTGTTATATAATAATGTAATGTAAATTTTATTTTGTAAAAATAAGCTAATAAGATTTATTTAAAAAATATGTAAACATTTCTTTTTATTCCTTTATCATAAGATTATAGAATTTATAGATAATTTTATTTTAAATGAACTTAATTAATTAAGCTGAGTTCAACAGAACGTCGAACGAGAGTTTACTCTATGCACCAACAGATGGAGTTTAATAGAATTTTAATTTTTCGACTAACTTGTCCATTCTGATTATAGTTGAAGGTTGTAGTCAAAGTTTAATAATAAGTACGCGTGTATATAACCTGTAATAAAGTATTAACATTCAGTTGTGAGAGAAATTCATACAATTACAAAGAAATTGTGCAACGTATAAGAAATACGTGTTCTTACGTTATATAGTTGGAGAAACAATGCCAAAATATTACTGTGATTATTGTGACACGTACCTAACGCATGATTCGCCGAGTGTACGGAAAACTCACTGTCAGGGCCGTAAACACAAGGATAATGTTAAATATTTCTATCAGAAATGGATGGAGGAACAAGCACAACACCTAATCGATGCAACAACGGCGGCATTCAAAGCTGGAAAAATCGCATCTAACCCTTTTGCAGCAAACAAAGGAGCAGCAATTCCACCACCTCCAAATCTTGGACCACGTCCTGGAGTACCACCTCAGGGTCCTCCAGGTATGATGCCACCTCCAGGGATGCATCCTGGTGGCCCTATGGGTCCAGGAGGCCCGATGATGATGGGGCCACATGGGCCAATGCCACCAATGATGGGTATGAGGCCACCTATGATGGGACCTATGGGGCCAATGGGGCCAATGATGGGTCCTATGGGACCTATGGGTCCAATGAGACCACCAATGAACGGACCACCACCACCTATGGGAGGTCCTCCACCGATGAAGAAATAATGAAGAGAATATATATAATTCATACCATTATCTTAATTACATTGACATAAATGACTCATTAATCATATGCATATCTTACCAGTATAATATCAATATGTACATATGAACATAATGTACTAAAATGTAAATTTCATTCTATGATACAAGATATTTTCAAGATGTTGAAATACCGAACAAATCATACATTTTTTTCTTAAGAGTAAAAATAAATTGAAAAAATTCAATACTTAGTGTTATTTTTATACTTAATATAATAACTGATCAATCGGAGTAAAACTCTGTATTTAAATATAATTATACTTTAGGAAATAAATATGTACAGGATAAGAAATATAAGATACATGTTTCATTTTGCTTGAAAACAATTTCTTCTTTATTTACAAAGAAATAAGCAAAGATAATTTGTATATATTAATTTTTTTAATAAACATGAAATTTGATATCTGTTTCATGTTTATCATTTAGATATACAAATTTGAAACTTAAAATTACTTTAACATGACTGTATGCGAGACACCTACAAAGTCAACAGTCTTCAGTAAAAGCTACCCACTTACAAAGTGGTTAATTTAAATGGAAATACATTTATAGTATAATTATATATGGTGTAGCAGTATTCTGTACATGTATATGGTTTTATATAAAAATTATTACTTAAAAGTAGACTATATTATTTAGTTCTCTTGTAACTTTATAAAAAATGTTTTTGGACAAAAATTTTAATAAGTGTAGAAATGCTAACAGATTTTTATTTTACTCATTTAATAATAACGTATAATTAACATCGTATTTTAAAAAATAAAATTCATTGTAAATAATTATAAAATGAACTTACATATTTCCTGTGATCTTTTTCCAAATTTATTAGTCTTAGCAAAGTATCAATATGCTCTTGTTTAAGGTTTTTATCATTTATTCTTTTCCTAATTTCTTCAACAGCTTTATTCATATATGGCAAATTAAATTCCAAAGCTTCATTTATAATTTCACTAGCTTTATTTTCTAAAGATGTGTCAGTTCCAGTTTCTTGGTTTTCTATAATTTCTAAACTGTTTTCAAGGTCTGCTTTTGCTTTTTTTGCTTTTTTAGATTTTTTCTTTTTTGTAACACTTATTTCAGAATTAATTGTGTTGTTTTGTTCCTGTAAGTTACTTGTTTTTGCTTCTTTATTATTACTATTTTCTGTTTCTGATTGCTTTCTTTTGTTATTCCCTGAGGGTTTTACTTTGGCACAAGGTACATTTTTAGTTGTTCTGGATGATACATTGGTATGTGTAGATTTTTGAAAAGATATGGTTACTACATCTGAGTTTTGTATAAGATCTGTCATTTGATTACTTGAAATATCCTGATTATGTGATGATTGTGTAGTATCATCAGTAAATTCGGTAACATTCTTTTCTGCAGTGTGTGTTTCAATAAAAACGTTTTTTGTATTACATGTTACATCTTGGTCATTAGATTGGATAATATTATTCGTTGGAATATGTTCAATGGATACAATGCTAGGTATTTCTATAGTTTGTGCTTCAATATTTTTTGATGAACATGCATCACTCTTGTTTATAGTATTCTCTTCCTTATTATGTTCCCGTAAACTTTCCATTAATGCTTTATAAGGTGTAAGTTTGTTCTTCTTTAGTTTCTTAGCTTCATTCTTCTTTAGTTTCTTAGCTTCATTCTTCTTTCCATCTTTTTTTTTCACGCTTGTTTTGTAATATCTTGCAAGAAAACGTTTTAATTCGATATCTGTTAATCTACGAGGTACAAAAATTTTATTGTAAAGAACAATAATATTCAAATATTGTGACATGTACACTTCAGTGCCTGAAACCTTTTTCAGATGTTTCATGGCTTTTTTTAATCTCCTTACTAGATGAGTATGATTAGGTTTTGACTGATACACTTTCATCAAATCGCCTCGATAATCTATGATTTTTTTTGCAACAGAAAATGATACTGCGAGGTCTTTAATAGTAGTCATTGATGTTTTTAGCTCCTCTATTTGACTACAAATATAGTTTGGATCTACTAAATTCTGTTCGAACTCGTGTAGTTTTTTTGCCAAAAGTTTTTGCAATTGTTTTGCTCTACGGGGAAGGTTTATAGTAATATCCAAGAGTTTATCCTCATCATGTAGTTTAAGCCAATAAAGGAAAAGTTCTAATACATATTGAGGCAGATGTACTGCAGATCGAACTCTTATCATTAATTCGTTATCTATATTGTAATATATTTTAATTTCAAATTTAATTAGTTTTGTTAATTCATCCAAAAAAATTGGAGAAATGCGACCCTTTAAAAGACCTGCTATGTGAGAAGGATGAATATCAAGAGTCAAAAGTTTTCGTTTAGCTTCTTCGCCATTAGGCATTTTTGTATAATATGTTCCATATGAATATACAACACCAGAACTGTCTAAATCAACCTCATCAGGAAGAAATGTCACACCTTTCTTTTTTAATTTAGTTAATGGTATTACATCTTCATTAGTATTTTCACAAGCAGAATATTCGTATTCTAATTCACTTGTATAATTTGATACAAAAGCTGGTGTTGGGAAATGCTGTGACCAGCGATACTCGTTACATGTAGAAGAATCATGTCCTCGTTTGGTGCAATTACAACAGTAAAGTAAATCCGCAGGTTTCATAACTTCAGATAAGTTCTCTGGTATATTTATCTCAGATGTTCGTGTCTAAAATTAAACAAAATCAAGTAAAATTACTTTTTATATTTAAATTGTGCATAATTTCATAAAATATTTATACTGTATGTAACAACAAACTCACTGTTTGATGAAATCTTCTCCAGAGATCTGGACATTCAGTTGATTTATGTCCTATAGCATTACACATGTTACAATACAGTATGCGACAAGCCTCACAAGTTTTCCTAAATGTACCTTGCTTTTTACCACACTGTAAAAAATTAACATATTACTATACAGTTATCACATAATATATTTTTATGATATATCTTCGAACCGTGAGGCACATTTTCTGAGGGCATCGAGTTTCTGTATGTCCTTGAGCACCACACATATGACATCGAATAGGTTTATATGGCTCTGTACAATTATGTCTCTGATGACCATGTCGGTGGCAATTAGTACATTTCATGTACCAGTATCTCTGATGTTTGAACAAATCAGGCATCAGGTCTTCATCTAAAATAGCCCAAAGTCTTGGATCCTCTATAATTTATTTACAATAAAAAATATTTAAAAATAATAAATTTATATATATAAATAAAATAGGACTACATTAATTTTCAATGACTTACTTGACATCTTACTCTGAATTTCCTTTACATCAAAATTTTCTTGTCCTTGAGATTCATAGAAAGCTTTAAGTTTCTCCGACATAGGGCGAAAAAAATATTCTTCCCATTCTCGATTACTCTTATCATTACTATTATGTTGTTCAAAATTTTCTTTAGAACATTCAAATCCACTATCTGTATTTCTCCTTTGTTTTGCACTTGTAGAAGGTTCATTACCACCATCATAATGCCTTTTCTTATTTGGAGTCACTTTTTTAGAATGAAGAACGTTTGACATCATTACATCTTTTTCAAGATGCCTTTCTTTATCTGTAGTCAACTCTTCAGAATTAAGGAAATTTGATACCATCACATCTTCTGCAAAATACCTTCTATTTCTATTTGAAGTTAGTTCTTCAGAATTAAGGAAATCCGATACCATTACATCATCTGCAAAATTATCTGATTCACTTTTGTCTCTTTCATATACAACATCTTTATCGTGAACTGTTTTTAATGGTGATTGAAATTCAAATGTATTGTGTTTATCATTGTTATATAACATGTCAGGCCTAGTAAGATCTTTAGTATGAATTTCATTTCTTACAATAGACTTATTTTTTTCACAAAAGCTTTTGTCTTTATTATTATATTGATCTGATTGAGCCTTTTTATTCATTTCCATTATTTCTTTTATACTTGATGCACCTTTCTGTATTTCTGTACAGTTTAACATTATATCTTCTGTTGCTGATTCATCATTAGTGCAATCTATAACTGAGGTAGAGCTATCTGACTCTTGGTCAATTATAGAATCTTTCTTTTTAACATTTTCTACCAAATTATTTTTCTTTCTTATAACGAATGAAGATTCTTCATCTGTATCGCTGTCACTACTTGTTGTTTCAGAATTTTCATCTGAGTCCTGTAAATTTATGATAGGTGGTTGAGGTTTTGGCGGAATCGGTACTTCTAAAATGGATTCTTCAGAATCACTTTCTGTGTCTGATGTTAACACTGTTATTTCTTCGCAATAATTGATAGGTTTTTGCAGTTTGTCAGTTCTACAAAGTATCTTGTACTTCGTATCTGTTTCTGTTTCATATATGGATTTTGTGTCATGTGAATCATATTCAATAATGACTTGTCTCTGCTGATTTTCTTTAATATTTATCTTTTCCTGTTCTTTCTCTTTTAAACTTCTTTCTTTTTCTTCTTCCACTTCTTGTAGTTTCTTTTCTAACTTCTCGTATTTTTCTAAATATAGTTTATTGATAAATGATTTAGAAAATTCATATTTTTTAAGAATTTCATCATTGTTTTTTTCATTACACACAATTCTCTGACATTTCTCATTGTTCTTATCATCATCATGTTTTGTAGAATTTAGATGAGTAAATTGATTTGCAGTTGTCTCATTATTTAGACATTGTACGGTTTCTAACTTTTCTTCATTTTCATCTTTTATTTCTGGTTTTACATTATTTTCAACAATGTAAGTGGTATTATTATTTGAATTGCTTTTACCATATTCTACATTATGACATGTTAATTGCCTGTTGTTCTTTGCAGACTCAATATTTTCTTCAGTTTCTTTTAACGTTTTCACGTAAGGTACACTGGGGATACTTTCATTAGCTATATCTTTAGATAACGTTTCAGTTGTACTTTTAAAGCAAATAGAAGTAATATCTGGTTTACTATCATCTTCCATTGATGTTGAATTATTTTCTGATTCGTTTTTTATATAAGTTTCGTTACAACTTCCACCAACATCATTCTTTCTAGGAGTATTATTAAAACTGTGAACTTTACTAGTACTTGCATCTGTACGAAGTTTGTTATCGGCTGTATCAATAGTTTCTAATTTAACATTCGATTTTTTATCCACGTTCTCTACATCATTTGATGTATAATAAATTTCAGCATACAACCGTGATTGTAGATCATGATTCATTTCTTCATCTTCACTGTTTTCAGCCTTACAATAATCTACAAAATTCAAATCAATTTATTAAAATTCTTCGATTATTAAGTGAAAGTAATAAAGGTTACATCAGAAAATATTCTCACCACGAAAGACATTGTATTCCATCTTTATTTGTATGCTTGGATAGTACGAAAGTTTTATGCTAAGTAAAAGTATATTTTGCAATAGGTATGAGATGAAATTATTGATATTCTAAGGAAAGAATTTATGCGTTGTTAACAAAAACACATGGGTATATTCTGTAACATTTATATTTGACTTACTTTTTGTGTAAAATCTACCCACTACCTACTATTAAGAAGATAAAGCTCATAGTTTACACTACTTGAAATGAAATAGTACTTTACTACTTCCTATAGAGAGCACCTATAGTAGATATACATGTAATATATAATGAAAGCATGCTTTAATAATCGAAACTTGAAATTTATTTTTTATATAAATGCTAATATAAGATTATTTATTCTATCTTATTCTATAAATGAAAACAATTGTGTATATAGTTATTTTCTAAAGTCCCTAGACATTTTCTGCTTTAGTAAAATTTTAATTTAAGGCGATCGTTTGGTGTCGGCTGCTTCGGGAAGATTCGGCGGTAACACGACCAATCACGATCACTTATAGTTTGCGATCAGTGCAGTTGATAAATGGAGGATTTGTGTTTGTCAAGGTAGTTTTGTTTACGCGTAAATTTTCATTCGGTATCAACACATCGTGCGTTTTGTGTGTGCTAAGAGGTAGATGAAGGTGCGTAACAGTTTCCTTCGGGTTTCGTATTAAATTTCAAAGGTAGGGAAACTATCCGGTTAGAGAAATGTATGTTAGTGCGGAAACTTGTCGTACAGAGCATATGAACTGTGTAGAGATGAAAGATTGTCCACATTAAAAAATAAACTGCTTTTTGAAGTATTATTCAAAAATTATATTAACATTTCTTATAGATCTTTTGCTCATTACGTTCGTAAAAGGTAATGAGGTTATGTTTCGGGTATTAAGCACTCAGAAATGAACATTTTTACTTCATAGGTTATGAATTTACTTTCATAGAATTTCTGAATGATGCATTCTGAATTGAATAAATTCTCTTTTAATAATACAAAGTATTTAGTTATAAATATGAAAAAGTCTGTATCCTTTTTAAAAATATGTTTTAGTTCTGTTCGTATAGTATCAGCAAAACAAAGAACATACACAATACTTTGTCTTTCATTAAAGTAATGTAATATGTTAGATAATAAAATATTGCATATGTGTGTTAAGAAAGATGAAATAAGATTGTATGTCAAATGGTTTTATGTATTACTCCAAATTAATTTTTCTGTATTTAAAAGCTTATTTCTTTTGAACATATATAATGTCAATGAGATACTGAGGAATATCTGTTACAATGTTTACGATTTTAAAAATAAATCAAGCACAATATAAAATGGAGAATTCCATAATTGATGTGATAAACATTACACGCAGTTGATAATACAACCACATTATTGTATAACAAATTATATTTTACTTAAATTTTTACAAAAGATTCCTCATATTGTATATTTTTTATTTTGGGTTAATTAACCTATATACAACGAATAAATTACTCTGTTGTTAGCACTTGCAAATAAATTAAGACTTATGTACATAAATTGTTGTATTTGATATATTATGTAACATTTGTAGTCACATTGAGAAGTATTAAAAAAATATTTGTCTATATAATATTTTCATTGATGCGAATGTTTAATTTTCTATTGTTTAATATAATTTATATGTTTTATAGCTATGTAATTGTAATGTTTAATAGTTTTAAATGTCATTCCAATATTTGTGTAGGATTTAACATGTCTCGCAATCATAAAGACAAGTATGAAAACTCCGCCCAACGTCGTTCACATACTCTTATGTCTACGGAGGATGCAAACTCTGGAAAGAAATCGTATTGGCCAGAATTGGAGATAACAGGCAGTATAAGAAATTTAAGCCCAAATTTATGGCAAATGACTCATCTAACGGCTTTGTATCTCAATGATAATAGTTTACAAAGGATACCATCTGAGATCGGACGTTTAGTCAACTTACGTACTTTAGATCTCAGTAGCAATAAATTACGGAGTTTGCCAGCTGAACTGGGGGACCTCATCTACCTCAGGTATGATCGTATTTGCATTTATATCTATTATCCAGTAAAAAGATAACGTGAATTGTTAATTGAACGCATATTAAATTTTTTGTGTATCTTATTCTGATGTTTTGTTTATATTTCAGAGAATTGTTGTTAAACCAAAATTACCTCCGAGTGTTACCATATGAACTAGGAAAATTGTTCCAATTACAAGTGCTAGGACTTCAGGGAAATCCACTTAGCAAGGAAATAATGGCGTTATATGGAGAACCATCTGGGACTCACAAGCTGCTGTCATATATGCTGGACAATTTACAAGGTATGTAATTAAAACAATCGTTTATTTAATGAACCATATTTAATCTTGTAGAGGAGCTTAATATCGTTAGTTAATTTTGTTTTCATTAATATAAAATTTATATATAATGTGTTATAATAACGCAATATATGTTAATTTGTATTGTTTATTTGCTATTAGCATGCAATGATAAATAATGACGATGACATGCTAACTAGGGTCATCGTTGATCGATATTAACAGTTGTTATGTGTATTTGAGTAATGCGCCACCAGATGGCTGTATATGTCTACTTCCTATGTAACTTGCTAATCTCGAGTTACCTTTTTCTTTTCCATAACAACATTTTTATACAAAACATTGAAAAAACTTTTTTCAAATATAATATATCGTTGTTGAGGTATAATAATTGTAAATATTTTCTAAGTATAATGAAAATTTCACCCATTAAACGACAAATGTACGAATTAAGTATATACATACTTAACATGTTAGTGTTAATACAATCTCTTGTCAATTTTATGCAAACAAAATGGTTATAGTTTATTCAATAAGAATATTAATATTTTTAAAAGATATAATAAAAAAGAATGAAAATTGAGCAAAAGAGATTGTCGATCACTATAATCCAAATAAATTATTTTAATTAATAGCTGAGAAGTGTAAATAAAAGATACAAATTTTTATTTCGGCATAATTAATCGATTTGTTTTCTCTCTGTATTATTTCACGAATTGTAACAAACAATACTAAAACCTTTATAATCGTGATAAGGTATCTCATTGACTTTACATCAAAATTGTAATGGAACGTTAGTGCACAGTAAGTAACATTCGGAATTAGAAAGTTATGTATTTTCTATAATAAGTTTCTCGAAAGTCTATTGTAATTCTTATTTATCTTTTTTAGACATTTCTATTTCGTTTCTTCATCGTTCTAGTACCTAATATTCTACCAACCTCTTCAAGTGGCGATTATTAATCGTATTAATCATTGATTTATGATAAGTAACGCCGTCAGTAATTGTCACGAAGATTAACGCGCGGATAGAACGCGTTGCGTTAATCTATTAGAAATAAAATATCGCCGATGCAAAGTGGCCATTTGGAAGATAAAAATTTCGTGATGTCGACGCAGAGCTTATGAAGACCATTTAATGCCTTGGAGAACACATTAGAGCCTACATAATTTAATTTCTTTTAACTTCGGGGTCAAGTGGGTGTGCCGGGGCGCAGGCGCGTTGAGTTGTACAAGTGGTTACGTTAGGGAATGCTCGGTGAAACGTGGGGGAATTGCAAAGCGGACCAGAAGGGAAGGCGTTCTTCTATCCATTGTGTTTCACAATTTTTGCCAGTTGCCCGATTGCCTGAAAGGTCTCGGCTGTACCATTCCGTTTATCCATTGTTCTCCGACTTTTACTATTCGGCACTACGGCACTATGCCTGTCATTTCCTCTTCCAGAGGATACTACCTCGTCATCATCGTCCTCCACTTTCTTCGCTTCATCTTTCTTTGTGTCAAGGGTCGTTTTTTCTTTCTTTTTTTTTCTATTTAAAATCACGTTCATAGTGTGCAGATCTTTAAGAAGATAATTTTTTAACGTATGTGAATCATTCTCCGATATCTAAAATCTATAGGTTTCTTTTCTTTAAGCTTTCTAATCAGAATGATCCATATCGAAGGAACATAGATATACAATGTAGCAATTTTTATGAGATTTATTACATAGTTGCTTGCATTTTTCAATTCTTTTCACTTGGCCCTTGTTTTTGCCTATATAAATATTTAATAATAATTCTTTTATGGTATATATCTTTCATGACTATTGTTTGTTATCGATGACACTTTTGTGCTGTTTGCACTTCACGTTTGTGCTGTTTCAGAAAGATAAAAGAATACTCTAGCATCTTTAACATCTGCATAATGCATTCACATTTTTCTCCACAAAATATTCATTGTATTACTCAATTATTGCGAGTGTATAGAATATTATATGTTGAACTTGTAGATATCATAATAGTAGTTGTTTTTATAGAAAGATTAAGATTCATTGGTAATTTGTAAGGGAATTAAAGTACATACCTCGCCGATAAAGTGTAATCCTTAACGTTCGGAAGAAGCAGCTAGCTACTTGAAGCTCCTAATAAACCCCACGGAAGAGCTACGGAAGTAAATCGATTTCCTACTGTTTACTCTTTAATGTGGCAAAGTTGTTTACTGATAGAGAAAAGGTTGCGTGTTCTATTTTATACGATGATAATGAAGCTAACTGCATAAAGTCATTATTTGCTACTCATAGTAAATTAGCCAAACGCTTTTTCTCTTAATTTCTATTACCCGACAAAAAATTAATAAAATTATATTGTAGAAAAAAATATATGATAAATGTCTGTTGCAACGGATATCTGCTGTTTTTCGTCGAAATATTTCTTGGAAATTTCTATTCCGTTCGTAAGTATAGCGACATGGTTACTGAAATTTTACATAAATCTCCATTAAGTGTATTTATGTAGATCTTTTCAAATAGGGCCTTTAACAACATTATGGCATCGTCTTTCTATATTTGATGTTCACCGCTGGCGCATATTTTATTTGTTTTCCAACGTACGTAATCAATTGACGAGATAAATCGGAGAGTTCTGTTAGTTTAAATTTCCTCCTTCCGTAACCCTTTGGAACCTCATATGCACCGCAATGTCTACATTGGTTTCTCAACAGGAAAATCAAGTCGAGAGTTTAGTGCTCAGACGCTATGATGAAACTTTCGTATATTCACTGCAAACAGTCATAGAATAATCGGCGCGAACAAAGTTAATTAATTTCTCCATAATTGTTCTCTTACTCTCTAAAGTAAATCAATACAATTCAGTATGGCGATAGATTATAGTTGTCGAAATATTAAGTGAAACTTTCGGAGATCCGTTAAAGTCTGTAAAAACACAAATTTTGCTTTTGTCATACAGCCAATGGAAAATGCATATTAGGAAGCATAATCGATAAATTGCGAACATCAGAATTTCTGAAAATTTATCGAAATCTCTAGAAACGTAAATTATAATATATCTATTACATAGTTGATAGAAATAAAACAGATTTAATGACGTTTAATCGATTTTCAAAATAAAATGCAATATATTTCCAAGTTTCGATCATTATGGGTTAATCTTGAAATTAATTAATCCTCAAATATATAACACACCTGTACAATTTGTTCGTAGCTCTTTTTTAAAATAAAGTTATTAGGAAATTTAAAAAAAACTGCTAATCTGGAAGTTTAAAGAAATGTGAAAATATCGATCACTTTACAGTAGAACTTTTTCTTCGACAGATTCTTCTTGCATTTGTTTTACGAGTATACTCATTGAAGATTACGATAGGAAATTTCAAGGATATTCGATAAATTGACAGATATTAATTATCTATAGAACTCTTAGTTAACCGAGCAGTTTATTCCAAATAGATAAGCTGATCGCGAAGAAATCGCTGAGAAATTTTATAATTCGCAGCTCCTCGTCGTGAAAAAGCTGTGTACTAAAAAAATAAGGCAATATATCGCCTGTACATTTTATATATCGTTAACAATTGGAATTAAAGAAGCAAATGCAAAGTTCCGTACAAAGAATAACAAGCGTACTGACAATTGCGCGTATCTGTTAAACTGTTACGTACTTTTACACCCGTTAAACTTTCAGTCTGAAAAATAAACGAGATACTCCTACAAACTTGGTTTGTTCGAAAATCGACGTTATTTTACAGATACATCGGCAATTCTCTTTTACGATTGATCCATCCTCCATTTTACGAGTGCCTTTTATTTGTTCGTTAAAAAGTCACGATCTCCTTTATTAGACGATTTTCCTCGAGTTGCGATATCCGCACGTATAGCGGACGTATAGCGGAATGCGCGCCGAAGATTTCGTTGATGCGGCTCGAGTGGGGGAATAGAAAGCAGAGAAACGCTTGTCACAAACAAACAAAAAAATGTTCGTTTTAGTCCTTTCGAGAGAAAGAAAACTGGGTCTCGCTGACGCGAGACGAGTGAAAGGGGTCTTGCAGTCCGAAAAAAAGAAAAAGAAGAAAAAAGAGGAAGAAAGGAATTATGCGCGATTCACTAGGTTGCTCGGTGCCACCTCACCCGTATAATTACACCGGGCCTCGGTCTCGGCTCTGTGTAATTGAGGACGAGTCTGAGAGGAGAAAGTGAACCGCGGTTTCGTGTATACACCGTGGCGAGAGTTCCTATGATTCATTCGTTATTCGGCGTGTATGGCGCGCACTCGGTTAGGCGTTGAGCACACGAGCTGTGAATCGCTATGACACGCGTTACGAATTCGTTTCGATGCCTTCTTGTCGACCTCGTTACATTCTCCTTCTTCCTGCTTGCTTTTTTCCGGCAGGTACAAACGCCACGTTGAGCGACGCGATGCGTGGAAAGTACGCGACGATACTTTTCGGTTGGCAAACAGAACTTTAGTCGAATCAGAAACCATTCACGCTCTTGCAAATGCATTCGTAAGCATTCGAACAATTAGACTAAGAATTCTAAATTCCCTGTACGCAATCAAAGAAATGGAAAGTAGATACAGATTTGTTTGACGAATATTACATGAAATACCGTTCTTTGAATATTTTATATAATTTTCCGTATCACGTCCTTCGAATTTCCCACCAGTTTCGTAAAAATTCCTCCGATGATGATTGTAACGAGTCAGTTGAATAATAATAATTATACGTAATGATTATGATAGATGAATTTCAGGAAAACGCACGGTTTGTAAACGGATCGTTTAATTTAATTTAATGGTGCGATTTGGATAGACGAACGATTTTATTAAAGTGTTTGATTCGAATGAAATTTGATGAAACGCTAGTTAATGTAACAGCGTTAATGAAATTATCTTGCATTATTTATTATGTTTATGTACGGCTGGATGAGTTTGAATAGACCTGGATGGTGCAAACGCGAATATCGTATTTGCTTCGTTTTTATACATGTTCTGTGCCTCTGTATTTCGCATCGA